TCTTAATTATATATAGAATTCATAAAAATTAGGAGGTACCTAGTAAACTTAGTATCCAATGCATATAGATGTTCTATAGGTAAAGGGGGAAGAAAATCGATATAATTTTCGATAGACACGATGGAATGTTTTCCGCTTTAGGTTTTTCTAATCTTTACGTCATCGTAAAGACGTAAGTGGAAAGAAAAATGGCGGACCGTATTTCTATAATTCGTTTGATGTGCAAGCAGCAGGTGCTTGATTTACGGCATTTAGCGGTCAAAAATTTGGCCCGAGCATAACCTGCATTGTTCCATAGTTTAATTATGTTTTTGGCAACAGACGGAAGTTGAATCCCGAGCCTAAACCAATTTTAGAGTGCATCGGGTACCTAAATCACTCTGTTCCTATTAACTGTAACATTGTTAGGTACCTGTAGGTACATATATATACGTATTAGATAAGGTCTTTTAGTGGTTTACTAAAATAATTAAGCAACCTTAAAATAGATCGAATTAGGTATAGTTAGTTGAGATTAGTTTCAGAGAATTTTGAAAATTAAATCAAAGTTGCAATTTTGTTGTTTTTTGTATTTGGACCTGTGTCCAAGTTCGACCCACAGCCCTGTGCTGTCCAAATAGAGCAATAATAAGAGCGTTGTTCCTGCAAATGTAAATTTCCTCATAATTTATGTTTGCAATTTATATCAGCAATTTATTGTTTTTCAGCGAACATCGAGGTTATTTTAAATAATTCCCCTGTAACCTGTCATGTGTTTTATAGTATTTTGGAACTGGTTAGATTTTCTTTAACTCGGCGTTATTGGCAGCTGACCAAAGGTTCATGTCTTTTCAAAAACCTCGTTGCCTTTTCGTTGGTCATAATTTTCCATTGTATCTATGCAAAACGTATTACCTAGTGAAAATTGAACCATTTTTTGATCGTAAATAGAAATCATCGGATCGAAATACCTCCTGTTGTAGAGGTTTGTGGCAAAATACCTGATTTACATTTTACATGTCAACAAAATGGTTGTTTTTGTTTTCGTTCTAAAGATATAACTTTTGTCTACCAACTAACTTTGTCGTGATGAGAGTTACATAGTAGAAAGCTATTATTAGACATTGATCTATTTAAAATTAGTGTACACCAAGACTACTACCGGTATTGTTTTTAAAAGCGATATAAAATTCTAATAACATAATAAATATCCGAAACTATTTATGTATGTATCTAATGATACCGACAATAACTATTAAAATATCATTTCCTGAAAATTTTGAAATATTTATGAGTAGATCGTAATATGGTAAAGGTCTAGATGGGGGGATCGAAAGAGGAGGTCTCCCCCACCACTGTACCATAAAAAGTTCGTGGCGGTCTCACCCCCATAAAAAGTTATGGGGGTTCAAAGTTAATAAATATGCCAATTTTTATACATTTCTAGGCATGTAAATATTTATATAGTCATTCTTAAACAATATTCAAAGGCAAAACTTATGAAAAGTNTTTAAGTAGGTAATCCAAGTTTTCGGAAACTTTAAATTTTGAAAAATCGTCAAAATTGAATTTGCGAAGTAACTCAAGGCGAAGGGATACGAAAATTGACAACTTATTATCTAGTTTAATTTACAAAATAACCAGAACTTTGAGAAATTTGTCTATTTTCTCGAAAACTAGAAACTTTATAACAAGCTCAAAGATTAAAAAAGTCGCAGAAAAGCTCTGAAAACTAAAAAAATTAACGAATTTTTATTTTTAATTTGTCTCTCCTATTAATAACGTGTGCTTGGTGCCGTTGTGCAAGTTTGAAAATTGGTGGTGTGAAAGGTGCAACTGGGCCATAGTTTGGCTCATCCTTTCGACGATTAATCACAAACGGTCGAGTATGGTGCAAGCATAATGATGCATCCCGAACTTTTAATGGTGATACAAAAGCCACCGTTGGACTAAAAGTGACTTAAATCATTTTTAGTACACAATTTTTTATAATGCTAAAATCAGGTATTTGGCGGAGCGTCAAACATCTAAAAATACAGACACGACTACTCTCTGTCCCTGAATTCGCTAGAGCTCCTTGTGACATCAGTCGGATACCATCGCGGCCTTGGAGTTTTGTAGTATTTTTACAGACTGGCCCACGTGAAAGATATGTGCCATAATGCCTCGAATTCTTTTACGCTTTTGACGCCAATTATTACTTATATTTATTGTCTTATAAGCACCTGGTGCGTACGCACCCTAACTTTTACGCAAATTCATTATACAGGGTGTGTCACTAGTCAAAAACGCATCTCCAACGAAACTTGGATCAAAAGTAGTAAAACTCCCCGTAAAAAATTTTTTAGTAGACTAAAATTTATTGAACGATAAACTTCAAACGACTTCAAAAAAAAATAGTGAACGTTTCGTCCTTTTTTGTGGTACGCAGTTCAATTGTTTTGCAGCTTTTCTATTTTTATATTTGGTTCAAAGGTGTCGAAATGCATTAATTTTCCGACAGGAAAATAAATAAAACATTTTCCAATACTTTTACCCACCACACTGTCGTAAATTAATGAAATAATGGCAGCCAAACTTTGGACAGGTATTATTCCATTTGCCTCGAAATAAACAAAAGAAAAAAGGTTTCTATAAATTATCTACTTATATTAAAGGAAAGAAAATATATCACCTAATTTTAAAAAAATCTCTCAGATGCATTAATCTGTTACGATTTTTATCCAGTTTCAATATTTCCACATAACTTAAAGATAAGGTGAAAAACAGTAATTCGTATAACGCAAAACGCTGTTTTATCCCTACATCGGTTTAATATTCATGATGGGCCACACAAGGGCCAGAACATTCATTGAATAGGCCTCGGTCCACTTGTGGCTACGTGCCTGTTCATTCACGACCCACAGCCATTTTCAAATTTCCTTTGTGGTAGTAGAAAATGAAAATGGACATTCAAAAATTAATTTTGGTGACCAGATAATTGTAACTCTACAATTTTTAATATCGTATGAGAAAACTAACGAATTTCATGATAGATCAGACAGCAAATTTTTATCACTCGTCGGTAGATTAAAAAAACAAAATAATAACCATCATATTCGGGCCTATTTAAAGAAAACAATCTATAAATAAACTAATCGCAAAAATCTAAAATTAGTCAGTTTATGCAATACTGTAAAAATATGAAAAGGCGTCAAAGATGCAGGAAGTGCAGGGTTATTGAGGATGTAAATAACTACATTTCCTCATTCTTGGACGAAATTGCAAGTAACAACGGGTATAATTTATTTTGCGTTTTAATAGATGTGTATTTATGTATGTAGCAAGCACCACATTATGATCGCCACCCGCACATTTCAAGGCGGTAGGCCACGTCCTTAAACATGCGAACGTCGCATAATTAAGTGCGAATAAACATATGTCTAAATTTTCATATAGTGGACAGACATGGACACAGCAACTATCATATACAACATTTTCGTAATACCGTACGACCGTTTTCGTCTATGAAAATCACAAAGTTTTTTTTAAATCTCTTGTTCAGAAGATCTATCACTATTTACTATGTATATATAACATTTTCAAAAATTGAAGATGATAAGGGTATAACAGAAGCAGTATATTTTGATGAACTTACATACCTGCTTGTAATTACTCAAAAGTCACATTTTAGACGTATGTTAAGCAAAAATTTACGTCGTTATTCATTTAAAAATAATTTCAAATATTTCCAAGCCAAAATTATCATTAAGTATTAGAAAAACAACAGAAACAGTTTTGTCATTTTACAACTGGCTCTAAAATAATTTATGTGAAAGATCTTTAAGACAAAAAATAATCACAGAATACATCAATTCTATTGGACCTTAGTCAAGTATTTAAATATGCATGATATGCCAAGAAAAAAGTAATTTATTATTTTTTTATTCGTTAAAATCCCATGCGGAAATAAATATAAATACAACAAACATAGTTTGTTTATAACGACGTTGAAGGAACAGGTGAGATTTGGTCTTTATACGCGTATTGGGTCTCTATATCTAAACATCATAATGTTATTAAAAAACGGAAAATCATCTTCAAATTAGAAATTTTACAAACAATTAGCAAGCATTACATTTTAAAAAGAAAATCTGTCATTTTGGTTTACTTTTGTAATGTTGTAATTGTAAAAAGATTTTTCAAAATGCAGCAAGATTAAATTTTTTATAACTTTCTTTAATTTTTTTTAAACGAGAAAAGTTTTCGTGTTGTTAAAAGCACTGAAAATGAATTATTTAAGTTAAAGTATTATTTACGCATTATAATGTTTAATTCAACGTTTAACTTGCGAAAAAGCAGTTTTTACGGATCCTTTTTAAAAGATCGACATAATAATAAAAAAAAGTTAACATTCTATAGGTCGAATAAAAAGCTAAAAGGTTATAGACGTCACACGGTGAGTAAAGACGCGCGTTTCCCATCTAGTATCTACTATTACTGAGCATTTTATTTATAAATGTTGTATGATCTAACTATTGGCATTCTTGCAATTTATTTGAAATAGTCCCGAAATAAATGACGAACGGCAATTAGCGGCTAGCTTCGACTGACCCAGGAGTGTTCTAGGGAATTTTGGAACCACTGTCTATACGAAAATTTGTTTTGATTAAATTTTGTGGCTATACTACGTCGTTCAAATTCGACATGATTCACAATACCACTCTAAACTAACGGACAAATACACATTTACATTCCAATACCTTATTGCTAATTAGTTACGATTAAACTTGTTAACGCGAAGAAGTTATAGCCACGGCAACATTAAATGAAATTGATTTATTACCGGGCTATTTCGATCGTAATATTGTTCTGGCACCTACCAGGAAATAAATTAATAGCACAATACATGCAGTTGTTAAAATTAGTTGACTATTTTTTCTATGTTACGAAATATTTAAAGTAATGCATCGATGCACTGCTGCATAACTGACTTCATCGAAAATGAGTAACTTTTAATTTATTTTCGCAACGGATTTTTTCTAACTCGCTTATTTTCAGAAGAAGATTTATTATGTAGGTTGATCTGGATGTACGTTTAATTCGGAAACTGTTTTTGATTCTAACAGAAATTTTCAGAGTAATCTCGCTCTCATCTACTTTAATACTTGGGAGATTTTATCAAAAAGTGATTATTATTTCTTGTTGTTAATCGCTGAAAAAATATGTTTTTGGTCATCGAAAACAGATACAAGTTTTGACGAGCCCAATAAAAATTTGTAACCGTTTCTTTTTTTTAATTTTTATTGACGCCTTCCGTTACTCAATAATAACTGATTTTGAAGTTATTTTTCAAAGGAAATTTTATTTAAGACGAACAATATCATAGGAATATTTAGCTTTGCATTCGCAAAAAATGATAAATATGAGGTACTAGTAGGTAATGAAGAAAGAGGAAATATTAAAAATCAAAAAAACTAACGATTATTTTATTCTTGTACTACGAAAAGTACAATCATTTGTTTTACTTTAAACATTTATTAGTTTTAGTTTCTTATTTGTCATCCATGCTAGGATAGCACCAGTAAGAAATATGCCGCCCCTAAAAACAAATCAGTAGTCAGGAATAATATTATAAATAATACTATTTTTTCTAACATACCAAATGGCTGTTCTAGCAACAGGGGAATGTTTAAAAGTACTATACATTTTTATACGAATCTCCTTGTGATTTGCAAAGTTTTTAAGAATGGATTTAGCACTAAAAAAATTAATAAATCAACATGTAAATTTCTGTTAAAATTCTGTAATCAATCAATCAATTGTAACGATTTTAAAAACAGTAAAAAATTCAAAAAATAAGTTCGAAATTTATAGAAAGCATTTACATTTACAATAATTATTCTATGTTTTGTTAGACGTCAAATATGAAATGTATAGATGACTTTTGTATCTACAAATAGCATCTAACATAGTAACCCACACGAATAGATGTGCCTAAAATAAAATTTCGAAAACTACCTTTCAGGTTAATATTAATGTTCGATAAGTATTTCGAAGAGCTCATACACCTTTAATAACAATATAATGTCCGTATAAATCTGAGCTTTTTAACGTAAATATTTATTACATTACATGTAATAATTTATTTTTTGGATACTTTGCAAGTCCAACAAACAAAATACATTTTTGAAACGTACACGCGTCTAGATGAGACGGAAGATTGACTGACTGTTTTTCACACTTCTTTCAAGTCCAAAAGACCTTTCGACTGTTAATTTTTTAAAATTCCATTATTGATGACAATGAATTAATACAAGCTTAAAGCAATAAATATTTGTTCTAAATTAAAATGTAGGTACCCGCCGTTATAACACAGAAATAGCCGATTCAAAAAACAGTAAAAAATTGAGCATTTGTATTAAGTCATCAAGAAACTAAATATAACTAACTCACCTATTAAAATTGTCTACGGCCACGATGGCTTTTCTACCAAAAGAAAATGGTTTTACTTCGACAAATCCAAAAGAACTTAACATAGACGCTATCTAAAAATTATTGTTTATTTTCTTAAGGATGAATTGATACTGTCGAGTTTAAAGACCGTCGTCGGTTGGACACATCTCGGGTTGCCACCCGTACTTTATTATAAAGTATTGTACTCTATTTCGACTGTGCGTACGTTATACTTTACAAGACACATAAAGTACGCAAAAATACTTTATTTTAGGCCTTAAGTAAACATCGTAATTTTGTAAGCGATTATTTGAAATTCAGAGTATTTTTACATCAATAATATTGCACAGAAAAATGGCAAGCCATATTTACGGAACAACCTGATTTCC